CGCTTATGCCACTGAGCTAAATCCCTGGCCCTCTACCATCTCTTTGAAGGCAAATATTTTTATTACTGTTTTTCTCTATTCCGATTAATGGTACTGCTCTATTCAATATTCTGTTTTGATAGTTCAAAAAAAGTGATAATTTGTGCAAAAGTACATATACTAATTACCTTCATTTTACACTGTACTTTGTATATGTGTTTCCAGTCACCTTATTGTACTTGATAAATATATATAATTTTTGTCAATTACAAAAAAAAATGCAAGGGGAAAATCTACATGATGTTTCTCAGGTTTGTAAAGAGAAGTAGAACTTCAGAGAACTGTAGACCAAACTCCACTGAGCCAGGTGTGATGGCACAAATCTGTAATCCCAGAACTTGGGAGGCTGAGGCAGGAGGATCACTTTGAGTTTGAGGCCAGCCTGGGCTCCAAAATGAGTCCAAGGCCAGTCTGAACTGCATAATAAAACCTATCTCAAAAAGTTAAAAAAAAAAAAAAAAAGCAAAGATACAAAAAACAATAAATGTCTGGCGGGGAGGAGGCTCCTACACAGTTTATGGACTGTATAAATTACTACAACTACTACTATAGAAATCAGAAAGTAGCTTCCTCAAAACTAAAAGTGGAGTTAGCATCTGATCCAGTTATACCACTCCTTGGCACACACCCAAAATGAAGTTGGCAGGCTGTAGGGACCTGCACACCTGTGTTTAGCATGGCACAATAAACAACAGCTGTAGCAGAGACAGCCCCGGTGCCTGTCAGGAGATGCATGGATAAAGAAAATATGGTACACATGCACAACGGATAATTACTCAGCCATCAAAAGGAATGAAAATTCTGACACGTGCTAGAAAATGCATGGATCTAGAGCATCGTGTTGAGCAAGCTAAGCCAGACTCAGGAAGGCAGGCATCGTATGGTGTCCCCACTGTGTGCAGATCAAGAAAGCTGACCAGAAAGCAGAGGGAGACTATTACTGGACAAAAGGAAAGCAGTAAAGGGTTGGGGTGTTAAGGTGGGTAGCAGGGGGATGAACGTGGGCAAAATACACTCACTGAACCTCCCCAAAATGTGAAATTAGGGGAGAGAGCAAGGCAAGGAGGTGAGGGGACAAGGTGACCAAAGTACATCAGATTTGTGAGTACAAATCTACCAAATGGAACCCAACCAAGGAACCAACTCTGAAAAGGCCAAAGACAACAGCCAGGTGTGGTGGGAGAGGCTGAAGCAGGGGATCACTGTGAGTTCAAGACTGCCCAAGGCTACAAAGTGAGCTAAAAACCAGCCTGAACTACACAGGGAGACCCTGCCTTAGAAAGACCAAAAAAATGGGGGCTGGGGATTTAGCTCAGCGGCATAAGCGCCTGCCTTGCAAGCAGGCAGTCGTGAGTTCAATCCCTGGTACCGATAAAAACGAAAAAGACAAAAAAAAACAAAGTGAAAAAGAAAAAAAAAGTACAATTTAGCAGGAAAAGTGAGCCATGTGGGGCAGGGGTTCCAGGATTCAGGACCTACCACAGAGTGGGTAGCACCAGGTGACCCCAGGGACAGTGGGCACGGGCTCAGTGAGACCACAGTAAACTCAGGCTGAGGAGGGGAGCTGGGATGTCACACTTGCTGGTTCTGATCGGTCAGTGACAACACAGGTGGCCCATAGGCCAGGGAGAAAGGGGCTGACCTCCACTGCGCCGAGGCTGAGCCCAGCAGCACAGATGGAGTCGTGACACTGCGCTACAGACAGTGGTGATGTAACCAGGAGGTAGCATTAGGAGAATGGGGTGGGGGAGGGCTGGGCAGGAAGCTGCCAAGCACTAAGAGGGAGACCCCACGACAGCGGGGGCCCTCAGAGGCTCAGCCGCCACTGATGTCCCCAAGGATGAACCAGTCATTGCCAGCCCAGAAAGCCCAGTGTGCGCACCGTGTACTCTGTGTGTCTCTGCATGCCTGTGTGGGTGAGGAGAAATCCAGGGAGGGTGTACACAATCAGGGTCCCATGATTACAAGATTGGGACAGCAAAGCTCTGGGAAGGAGAGGGGAAGATAAATGAAGGACAAACGTTCCTTCTCTCTTTCCTTCAACCCCAGGCCTGACAGGACGCGAGGGGGCAGGGCTCTGACCCAGGACACCTGCCATGTGCAGAGACCAGGACAGCCCGGGTTTGCCATGGAGATGGAGCCGCCACCAAGCATGAGCATGTGGCACAGGCTCCATAGCACTCCTACTGCAACCACTGCCACACCAGCAAGGTGTATTTCCCTCTGGCCTGCCTGTCCCCAGGATGGTGCCAACTTCCTAAGGATGGGGCAATGAGGCCCCAAGGGTAGGACACTGAAGTGGAGAGCCCTGGCTGGGCAAGAGAGGAGCCTCCAAGGGTCCACCCAGATCCGGGACTACAAGGATCCACTCAGGACAAGAGGGCCTTTGCAGACAGAGGCCAAGGGGATGCCAAATGGGAAAGACCACTGCGTCACGCGGACAGAGGGACAGTGGACAGAGAAGGCTAGGCACATGGGAAGCAGGGGCAAGCCAGGAGCAAGGCCAGTCACCAGTGCAGATGGTGGAGGTCAGGGTGCCTGTTGCAGCCTCTGGCCTCCTAACTGGTAGAGGACACATTTCTGCTGTTGGAAGCCCCTGGAAGTCCGTGGTCCCAGATAGTAGCACAGATGCTACTGAAAAGTAAACAAATGTTTACAGGCCCATCACTGAATTCAAGTCAATCACAAAATGCCTAGCAGCTGCCTGGGACTCAGAACCCATTGGGGTCGAACCCATCCTCTGGACCCCCAACCTCTCTTACTCCAAACAATAAGGAAAGAGAGCCCCCACCCCTCCTGGACACTGCAACTACGCACCCTTGGCCACCCAGCCCCTGCCCCCTCCCAGCCCCTTCCCATGGCCAGCCTGGCTAAGAGCTTTTTCTTGGCCCTCCTGTGTCCACCTCTGCCCGCCAACTTGCTCCACCCTGCCACCAAGGCCTCATGCCCTGTCCTCTGTTACCCAGATTAGTATCCAACGCCCTGGAGGGCAGGTTCCAACCAAGAGGCTTCATGGAAACAGGGGCCTTGCAGCTGTTGGAGAAGACCTGGTCCAGCAGGCAGCTGCTCCAGTGGCCCCCATCTGCAGGTGAACAGGCCACTTGCTCCTGCCGTTGCCTAGGTCATGCCCTGGGCCACTTGAGCCCTGTCATTACCGTGCACTAGGCAAACCACTGAGAAAGGCACACTTTTTATTCCAGCTTTTCAGGGGAAGCAACCTCATCCAGATTATGATTCCAGAGCCCTCGGCAAGGCTTCACCAGCTTGCATCCAGTCTCAGCCCTGGGAGGCTGCAAGGCTCTTCCCAAGGCAGCCCCTCTGCCTCAGCCACCTGGGCAGGCCACTAGGCCCGCCCCAGGGTGCACCGCAGGTCCTGTTTGTGGGAGAGGCATAGCACTGTCATGAGAATAACCCACAGGCCCTCGAGGAGCACTCAGGCCAGGGGAGGAAACTAAGGCACACAAAGGCAGTCACCAGTCCAAAGGCAAGTGGTCAGCTGGGTGCGAGGCTGGGGTCCAATGTGGGGCGCGCTCCTGTCTGTGTTCCACAGGTCTGGGCCTAGCTCTGTGCACACTGCACATCTCTCACATCTCCGTCTGCACCCCACGGGTCTCAGTCTCCATCTGCACCCCATGGGTCTCAGCCTCTGTTCGCGCCCCAGGGGTCTGAGCCTCTCCTACCACCACGGGTCTCCTCCCTCTCTCCTTCCACAACTGAGTCCCTGGTCAACACTTCCACAACCTCGCGCCCTTCTGAGCCCCCAAGGTCTGAGTCCCCACAACTCCTAGCTCTGGCTGTCGCTCCGGACACTGGAGCGCGGATCCCTGGAGACAGCCTTCGCCAAAACAAAGCCGGCGGAGATCGGTGGACCAAACCCAGCGCCCGCTGCAGCCGACCCGGCCCGGCCCAGCCCGGCCGACCACCTCAGGCGTCGGCCGCGCGCACCCGAGGCTCCGCCCCGGTCCGCGCCGACCCCGGGTCTTGCCACGAACAAAGGAGGCGCGGGCGGCGGCCCGGAGTGGGGCCGCGGGCGGGGCGGACACAAGCGCTGGAGGGAGGGGACGGGGCGGCGCCCGGGCCGCGCACCTACCGCGCGGCACCGCTGCTCCGCCGCCCGCCGATCGCACCAACGGTCGCCGCCGCCGGGACGGGGCGTGGCTCCCGGTGGGCGGGACTCCGGGACAGGAGGGGCTTCTGTGGGGCGGAACTTTGCGGAGACCGGGGTTCAAGTGGGCGGGGGGGTGTGGGCGGGGCTGGGGGCGTGGTTTATCCGAGGGGAGGGGGACACGTGCATCGCTTGCCTGCTGGGCGGGGAAACATGGGCGTGGCTTGAGGGGGGATTCCGTGAGGGGTGGGGCTAAGGAGGGCGGGGAACCATCAGGGCGTGGCTATCAGACAAGGCCGGAAGCCCGGCTAGCGGGGGCGGAGTGGGCCCTTAGGCGGATGCGGGGCGTGCCCTGCAGTCCGGGGGCAGGACATCCGCCGAGCCGGGCGGGGGCTGCCGCGCCGACCACGCCCCCAAGCCCTACAACAAGCCCTTTCGCAGCAGCCTCGCAGCTGCTGTAGAGCGAATGCCCAAACGGGGAGAGCGCGGTGACCGCCGCAGGAAGGATGACCCGCGGGGCCGTGAGCGTGGCACGCTGGAAGGGAGCTAGTGGCGCTGGCCCCCACCCTACTGTGCTGGACGCCACGCCCTGGCCGAGGTGGCCGGGCTCACACCTTCTCCCTCCCCACCCGCGGTGTCGCGTTTAATTACGACTGCGCATAGCGTCTTCAGGAAACGTCCCTGGGCATTTCACTGTAATTCCTAAGAGTGAAGAAGCCCAGGCGCCCTTCGGGCAGACCACGGCATCCCCCTGCCTTAGCCTAGCAGACCACTGCGTAAAGCTCCTGAGAATCAGCGAATCTGAGTTGAGTTTCCCACGGCCTCCCGCCCTTGCGCGCGCACCGAGATCACTCACGTGCTCTGAGCCCTGCTGCTGTCAGCCCCAGCACTAGGCTGCGCCGGGTAACCTGAGGCCCCGCCCCTCTTCCTGTCCAGTGTCCACTCCTAGCGGCTGGAACTCTGTCCGCCTCCACTCTGCCTCCGTCTGTTTCTCCGGGGGGGTCCCTCGTTGCCGACCCCTCCAGCCTTGAGGCCTCCTGACAGTCAGTGGTCCTCCTGTTCCCTTCCATTCCCGCGGGTCACCTGGCTTGAAGACCCAAAGCCCAGGCCTCTGTCTTCCCATAGCCGCCCTGCCTCCTCCCTCCACGTGATAACTGTCCCCTCCCGCTGCTGTCTGCTGAGGGCCACACCAGCTGGGTGCCTTGGCCATGCACTGGTGAACAGAGGGGCTTCACTGGCATTTTCTCAACTTACCCCATCCTGGAAGCTGTCTGCTTCCTCCTAGGATGAGGGGCTGCCATGTTCAGGGGAGAAAAGGAGGCAGAGGCCAGGTGCAAGAGTGGAGCAGCAGCCCAAGCCTGCACAGGGAACTCCCTCTGCAGGGCACCGGAAGGTGGGCAGAAGGTGGGTGGACAGCAAGAAATGCAACGTGTTGAGCTGAGAGCAGAGCTGGGAAAGGGACACTGAGGCCAGCTTTGAGGACAGTGGTCTTCTCAATTGAGTGGCAAGTGTCAGTGGATTCAGAAGAGAAGGTGGGGGGCAAACCAAAGCCAAGCCAAGACGCCTTCAGCCCTCGCTCTGTGAGTTCCTGCTGCGGTCAGTCAGTCAATATCACCACAGCCCTGTGGTGGCCAGCCTATGCCTGGAGGAGGGAGAGGCGCCTGGGGACCCCACATTTGTTCCTGCTGTGCTGCCAGCTGGCTGCAGGGGTCCTAGTCACTATCACTCCTGAGTTTAGCAGGATGGACAGGTGTGTCCCTGTGTGTGGAGCCCTGGCTGCTTCCTGAGGATGGCAGGCAGCTGCCTTATCTCCACAGCAGGAGTTCAAGGGTCTTGACCCATGCAGCTCTTGAGGTTCTTGGGGTGAAGATGGGGAGAGAATGAAAAAGTAAAAAAGAAACAAAAGCTGAGGTCCAGTGGAGCTTTCTGTCCTGATGGGAGAGAACCCGACCGCTCAACCAGCATAGCACCTTTATTTACACACCCAAGAAAAGGATGTCATTTTCAACCCCACTGCCTAGCAACTTGTGGATCTTGCTGGCCTGGGCCCTTGCCTTTTTGGAGCTGGAACAGCTGTTTACCTGGCTTGCTTTCTGTTTTTAGGGTTGGCCTTGTTTAGCCCCCGACATGTGATCAGTTTCCAGCTTCATTGGCCAGGGGATGGGATGGCTCGGGGGCATGCAGCCACAGCAGCTCTGCTGCCCACACTCCCACTGTCTACTCTGAAGTGCTCACTGTGGGGTCCCAGGCCCCCAATCAGACCCCACCCTTCTGCCCACTGTCAGGCCTGGAAGTGAGACAGGAAGCCAGCGCAGCCCACAGTGGAACTCAGGAACTCAGCGCATCCCTGCCCTGAGTGGCTGTACCTGACTTGACCACTCTCTTTTGGCCTTGGAAGCTGCAAGCCTGCTGTCCAGAGACCCTGGCCTCGAGCCGGAGCTAGAGTGACTGCTCTGGCTCCTAGGGAATACTAGGTGCCAGGCTGTGGGAGAGGCTGGGCGACACGTGTGACACAACCTCACCATGATCCCCTTAGTCCCTGGCCAGTGACGCTGCACAAACAGTGAGTGACAGAAGGTCACTCACAGTGACCTCCCCTTGGTCCCCATAGTTGTCCAGACCCTCAAGGAATTTGTGCTTTATTTTCAGTTTAGATACTCTCTTCCAGCTAAGGCTGAAAGCAACTGTTCCTGTCAGCCAAATTCTTCTAGAAAAATAGTTAAACCAGGCATGATGGGGAGCCTAAGCCCAGTGGGAGGCTAAGGCAGGAGGATCAAGTTTGAGCTCAGCCTGAAAAAGGCTGAAGGTGCAAGGTGTGAAGGCCTTGGGTTCCATCCCTAGTATCACACACATACAAAGAGAAAATATTACACATACACACATACAAAGAGAAAATATAGCTGAAAAAGAGTCACAAATTTCATGTATCATGGTCAAGCATTGCTGTCTGGTTGCCAATAGTACGGTATTGTTACACTATATTTTCACCACTACTAAAAACAACATCTAGAGCCAGACTCTTTTGTTTGTTTGTTTGTCTTTTTGAGACAGGGTCTGTCTTGCTGTGCAGTTCAGGCTGGCCTTGAGCTCACTTTGTAGCCCAGGCTGGTTTTGAATTTGCAATGATCCTCCTGCCTCAGCCTCCTGAGTGCTGGGATTACAGGTGTGCAGCACCACACCCAGCTTGGACTGTGTTTCTAAAGCCCATTTTTCAGATTTCTCAAAGCTGGGATACTGTTTTTAGAGCACCAGGGAATTATTCAATTTATATGGGCTAGGAATGTACATACGGGGTATAGCGCTTGCCTGGCACGCTCAAGGCCCTAGATTCCATCCACAGCACCACAAAGAAGTGCCTTAGCTGGAAGAGAGCATCTAAACTGAAAATAAACCACAAATTCCTTGAGGGTCTGGACAGCCAAGGTCTCTATTCAGTGCAAAAATGATAGAAAATTGCCTGGTGCAGTGGCACAGGCCTGTGATCCCAGCACCAGGAGGCTGAAACAGCAGGATCACAAATTCAAGGCCAGCCTCAGGCTACATAGCAAGACCCTGACTCAAAATAGAGACAAATAAGTAAATAAGTAAGGTAGAAAATTATCTACAGAATTACATCCAGGGGCTGGGGATTTAGCTAAGCGGCATAAGCACCTGTCTTGCAAGTGTGTGGTAGTAAGTTCGATCTCTGGTACCGATAAAAAAAGAAAAAGACAAAAAAAAAAAATCCAGTCATGTGATAATGTGAATCATCTCCTTTATCACTCAAATGGTTTTCATTTCCTTGTTCTGATTTCTGTAGATTTTACGAGGATGCTGTTTTTGTTACACATTTCACATGAAGTCCTTTTTGGTGGAGAAAAGTCATTTTCTCTCCTATTAAAAATTTAGTTTTAGGGCTGGGGAAATAACTTAGCGGCACAAGTGCCTGCACAGCAAGCATGAGGTCATGAGTTTACTCCCTGCACCAAAAAACAAAAACATTTAGCTGGGCGTGGTGGTGCACACCCGTCATCCCAGCACTCCAGAGGCTAAAGCAGGAGGGTCGCTGTGAGTTTGTGCCAGCCTGGGCTGTAGCTGGGAGTACAGGTGTGCACCAGTTTATCTGGGTTCAAAAAGAGACTTTTGATTCTATAAAACATGAACTATTCCTCCTTTTCTTTCTCCTTCTTGGGAAGCATTTGCTAACGCTGTTCACAGCCTTTGGCATGGCAGACACCTGGCACAGCACATGCTGGAAACTGACCCATGTCCCTGAAAGCACGCCACATCACCCACCTCCCCGTCCTGACACACTTCTTTGGATTCTTTCCCCGGCTCCGGGCTAGCTCCAAGGCTGCACAGCGGAGGCGGCTAGGTTTCTTACCGACACTTGGGCCTTTTCCCTTCTCTTTCCCTTTGTAGCAGCACCAGGGGCGCGGCTTCCCCCAACCATCCTTCATCTTTTTTTTTTTTTTAACCATGCTTCGTCTTTAGGTTCTGGAAATGTTTACGCACCTGCGTCTGCAATCCATGGTGAGTACACAGGTCCCCACATTCCTGGGGGACCTGGTGTACTCACACCATCTCCACTCTTTTCACCTTCCTCCCTGATGCCCCTCCCGATGACCTTTTCAGGTGTCTAAGTAAAGCTGTTTCTTTTGATTTTTTGAATATTTATTTATTTATTTATTTATTGGCAATACTAGAAACAGAACCAAGGCCTTCAGAGCTGCATCCCCAGTCCTTACTTATTTATGTGTTCACTAATTTATTTTGAGACAAGGCCCTGCTAAGTCACTGAATTTGCAGGCTGATCTAGAACATGTGATCCTCCTGCCTCAGCCTCCCAGAATGCTGGGATTACAGGCCGGTACCACCACACCTGGCTTCCAATCTCACTAAGTAAAATGATCACAACTGTGCACTCAGCACCCGCTTGGTGTCCATGAGGAATGAAGCAGCTTTCTGCTCAGGGTTAAGTCCAGCCCAGCATGCATGTAAATGTGTGGCATGTACCTAGGAGACTGTGTCAAGAGCTGCGCCCATCCATGAGATCCCAGGGACAATCACAGCTAGGAACAAGAGGGCGAGCTAGACAAGAATAGGGCCACATTGGGATCTGCAGAAGGGAACAGTGGACAGGCCCTTTGCACCTTCCCTTGACTATGGGAAGGAAATTAGCAGACTTCGCTTCCCACCAACATTGAGGACCCACAGGACTGTCACACCCTTGGTGGTGACACAAGAGATCAGAGAGGCTGTCAGAGCTCAACCCATCTCAGAGACACAGGGTCCTCCGTGTTCTCCACAGCCGGGACCCCAGGGCAACGCCAGGGCCATGTCCAGGTGACGGAAATACACCAAGCCAAAGCCCTAGGCCGGTTTAGGCTCCAACAAGACCTAAAGTGCCAGGCCCAACACAGGTGACCTCACTGTGACTGGAGCTGGAGCCCCTGGCTTGATCCAGGGCAGTCTGAATGATGGACCCTTCCCCACACTGGAGACAGGGTTGTAATCCAGCACTCAGGAGGCTGAGGCATGAAGTTCCTGGGCAGTCTGAGCTACAGAGATTCTGTCTCAAAGTTAAAACAGCCGGGTGTTTAGCCCAGTGTTTCAGTGTCTTCTTGGCAAGCTCAAGGTATAAAAACAAATAAATAAACACATAAAAAAGTGAAAACAAGCAAGCAAAAACCTCACCCAGATCAAAACATTGCCTATCAGTCTCCACCATTCATTTTATGTCAGTGTCTGGGATGAAAGAAGAAGCTGTAAGTCCCAAAGAAGGAGAAAAACTTGACACATGATCCAAATTCTCTTGGAGAACATTCTGCTGTCTCCTGAACTCTTTTGATGCATTTTGTGAACTGAAGTGAAGCCTGATGGGGCTACCGCATTTGGCTGACTTCCTTGGTGTGGTTCTGAGGTCCAGTGTGACAAGCGTGGGACCAAGCGCACCGTGGTGGGGCAGACGCAGAAGCTATGCAATGCAGTAGCTGACCTGCATCAGCAGTGCAGGCCAGGTGAGCCAGCCAGGGACATTAGCA